GTGGTTTTGATTTGCCTCCCCATGGCTGGCCATGGTGGCCTTATCTCACTGCCATTGTCTCCGTGCTGTGGTGGCACGTGGCTGGCAGCTGGGCAGGTTTGGGGAGCAGCAGAACCTGGCTCAGGAACGCTGCCCACGCTGCCAGGGGTTCCGAGGGAGTCTGGGACAGTGTGACAGCCTGCAACCGGAGTTACGGCAGCTCTTGGCAATATCCTCTCTGGTTTTCCTTCCTCTTGCCTTTTCTGCTGAACGTTTCACATCCTCTTTGTCTGAAGACTGGCGTGAGGGGGATGTGTAACTGAGTATTGGATGGGTGGAGGGGAGGAAGGTGAAGAGGGGTGAAGATCCCTCTGCAGAGCTGGGCAGGAGCAGTGACACTGGCACGCAAGGGACGGTGAGCCCAGAGTAAGGACACATAACAAACCCTCTGCCAGGCTTTGTGAAAGGGTTGCTCTTCCCTGCTTATGCCCTCAGTGTAGATACAGAGAGAAACAGGATTCACAGAGCTTTCTCCTACCCGTGGAAGAAAGAATAAATTCAGAAGGTTGAAAATGATCCTCATTTGCTGAAGGGTTGGTCTTGCTAAATATCCTCTGGAGTGTGTGTGTGTGTGTATACATAAATGCTGTTGGATCTTTTTCCCCCAGTGAGTTTCTGTGCCTGTTTCCATTGTCTCCCTTCGCTGCTTGACTGGTATTCAGTGACCTGGTTTTCAGCAAAACGTGTTCCCTCTTCCTCCCTGATCCACCATCTATAAATTATTCAGAAAGTTTTGCAGATGCAGAGACTTCAAGTGTGACATAAATAATGAACTCGAAGCCTGGATGCCATGAAACTCGTTCTCTGGCTCAGGAGCTGTGGTGACCATCAGCACCAGGGCTGCTGAAGGATTTTTGTCCCTTGGCATGTCCCTGTGCCCGTGCAAGGGGCAGGCAGGGAGCCAGTGGCTCATCCTTGTGCTGGCATTGCCTCCAGCCCCTGCGCTTCCATGGAGGGGAGATGGAGCCCAGATGGTGATGGGGAGATGGTGCAGCTTGCCTTGGGAAACAAACAGCAAAGATGGAGCGTGTGGGGGTGCCGGGGCTGCCAGCCATCGCTGTCCCTGTGCTGTGCCAGGGGCCTGAGCCTGGCACCCTCCTGCCTGTGCCCTGTCCCTGTGCTGCCAGGCGCCATGTCCCGGTAGTGACAGGGCTGTCGTCCCCTTCAGGCATTGGGTGCAGCCTGGTGCCCTGCCACGTTTGTGCTGGTTTGTTTTCCTTCTTCCAACTCCCAGGCTCTAATTTGAAGCCACCAAACACGTCCACGCCCCGGCTGCTGCCGTGCTCCCATGGCATAAACTGCAATTTGTGTGGYGGGGCTGGGCAGGGGTGGCTCTGTGAGCCCATTCCCCACATGGGCACAAAGCTGGGCCCCAGTGGGGCTGTGCCATGCCCCAGGCCCCTATGGCAAAGAGGTGGTGCCCGTGCCCCAAAAGGCACAGCTGGGCTGCTTTGGGATGTTTTGGGTCACGTTTCCTTTAGCTGATTTTTTGGCCAGGTCACTGCAGAACTGTGGCTGGCAGTGAGGAAGATGAGGAGAGAGGCACTGAAGGTGTGGGGTGGGCCTGGATCCTGGGGTGCCTGGGAGCTCCTCTGGCCCCACTGGCTTCYTGGRGCAGATGCTGTGGCWCCGTCCCACAGCTCTGCCAGCMCTGCTGCCCTCCAGCGTGCCCCGTRCTGGCTGTGGGGGCAGCTGGGGGTTGCCCCTGTTCACAGCTGAGGTTCCCAGCTGGTGTGTACTGCTGTCAGAGGAGTGTGCTCGCCCTTCTGTCTGTGCCTGCAGGGTGTGATTTTAATGAGCTGGCCCCTGGGCTGACCCCTGTGCCGGGGTGGCCCTGTGCTGCCACCATGGCTAATGCCACAGTGCTTCTGCTGCAGCTCTGGGGCTTTTCCTGGGACACGTCCTGCTCCGAGGCTGCTGTGTAGCATTAAACACCAAGGGGGGTGGTGGGGTTGGTGTTCCAGGCTCTGGGATGTGCAAGCACTGGTTCTGTTCCATGCCTCAGCAGCATCCTGGTGGAACTGAGACTCTGTGAACCGTCTGTGCCTGTGGCTGTGGGGTGGCAGTGCCATACTCGGAGCTGTGGGGTGGCAGT